TCCTATGGCGCACCTGTGCAGTGGCAATAAGCACAGCGGCCCACTATTAACACTTTGTGAGGAAAATTACTATATACTGTACATGGAAACTGTATATACCAGCAGGTGGCCAGTACTCATGGGGTGCATCGTTCCACTACCCTTCAGTGCTGGGCCTGAGGGCAGGTGCCACCCCTCCTCCCCAAGGGCAGTGCGCCCCATGATGTCCAGCACCTAGGGGTGCCAGGCATCCTGACCGGATGCTAAAAGTCTGGTTACCTGCAGTAACCAGCCTCTGGCACCAGGGGTGGGGGGAAGGAAGCACAGCCTGATGGAGAGAACTGGCTGGCTCCTAAACCGGGCTCCAAAGTAGGTACTGGCGCTGTCCGGGGGTAACCTGTCTGCCCCGCCCTGATTTCCCCAGCCCCTTGCTTCAGGGACCCCCCCCCCCCCCGCCCTGCTGTGCCCCAATGTCCCCTCCCTGGCCCCTCGTTCCAGGGACCAACCAACCCTGCTGTGCCCTGATTTCCCCACTCCAAGGACCAACACCCCACCCCCCTACTGTGCCCTGACTGCCCCGGCCCCTCGCTCCAGCCCCCCCCCCTTCCCTGCTGTGCCCCAAGTTCCGGGGTGAGGAAATTGGGCAGAAAGGCTCCACATCAGCGCCTCCCCGCCCTGCAGGTGCGTCCCAGGGGATGGGGGAAACCAAGCAAGGGGGCAGGGGTGGAGAGAGTGTGACAAGGGGGGAGAGCTAGGTGGGGCAGGACCTCAGGGGAAGAGGTGGGGCAGGGCTGTTCGGTTTTCAGGGATTAGAAAGTTGGCAACCCTACCAGCACCCCTTCCCTTGCAGAATTAGGGCAAAAGCCTGAGCTTACCCTGCCCCAAATCGAGCCGAAGCGCCATGTCCCCCCCCTTACCATCAGCAAGGGCACTCTGCCCCCTAGGAACATGGGGGGGGGGCACGTGGCTGAGGGCCCTTGGTGTTGCCTCTCACCGGTGGCAGGTGTGGCACATTCTGCTCAGTCCTGGGACCGCCACAGCGGCAGCACCAGCTCAGCCTGCAGGGCCCAGATCTCCTGCAGCAGGTGGAGAGCCCCCCCTTTCCCTCAAACGAGCTGGGGAGAAACTGAGAAAGGAAACAGAACCGGTTACCCCAGTCAGATCAGGGGCTCAGCCCCAGAGACCCCCAGCCAGGGCCTGGGGCAGAGGGCTGTGTGGTGGGGGGGCAATACTGAGACCAGTTTGGTCCAAGATGGATCACAAAGCCGGCTCACTGCGGGGAGGGCAGAAGCAGCGTTAATGGTGTTTCAGAGGGGGATGGGGTAGTCG